CAGTGCATGGTTCTTTTGTTCAGGCAATGCCTCCGACACGGGGGCCCTGCCTTTCCACCCCCGTTCGGAAGGGGGCCCTCTCTTTTGGCGGGTCACGCTGGGCCCCACGATTAAAACCGCGCCCGCCCCAATTGGGCCCGCCCCACCGGCCCGCTCCGAGAGCGCGCTCTCTGCCTGACAGGTTCTAGCCACCATCCTCTCTGAGCGCATTTCGGAGCTCTCGAGCCGCATGCGCTCCGTCGTCACCAAGGGTCTCAAGCCGGGCAAAGGGGCCGCCCTCCCTGCAGTGGACACGAAGCGCGTGCGGACCAAGTTCGGGCTCTCGCCCGAAGACAAGCTGATGGGGGTTTACCGCTGCTCGGTCAAGCGCGAGGTCAACGCACAGGTCAAGGACCAAAACGCGCACTTCGGCATCGTCTACATATTCGAGTCGAGCCTCTGCTTCGACTTGCAAATGTTCGCTTTCAAGAAGAAGCTCGTCATCGACAATGCCGATGTCATTGGGCTGCTGCGCTCCGATCCGAACACCGGCGGCGAGAGTAACACCGTCGAGGTCCAGTCTAAGGGCCAGTCGATCGAGCTGCACATCAACGACGACTTCGAAGAGGCGTGCCTCCTAATCGAGGTGCGCGCCTGCGCCGGGGGAAGTAGAGGCCGCCCCCTGGGCTCCACCGCCCCTCGCCGTGACGCAGGCGTGCCGGCTCAAGGCAAAGACCAAGCAGCTCGGCAAGTCCAGCTCCGCTCTCGGCGAGCAAACGACGGCGGACGACGAAGGGCACGTCTCCCTAGAGCAGTTCAACTCCGTGATCGAGCCGATGATTCACAGCCACTCGGACGCGGGCGAGAACAAGAGCGTGCTGGAGGAGCTAGACATGCACGAGGACGATTGGGGCCTCTTCCTGTCTGCAGCGGCGACTCGCACGTACGCCAAGGGCCAGTACGTTGTGCAAGAGGGCGAGCCGTCGGCGGCTCTCTACCAGATAGTGAGCGGCGCGCTGCGCGTCGAGCTCAAGCTCAACGAGCAGGCGCCTGCCGCTCGCACACCGCACCGCAACCCCTTCCGCATTCCCACGTGCCCTTGCCGCCCCGCCACCATCGGCCCCATCACCAACGAATCCTCCCCGTGCAAGCCTAACCACCCCTCCGGTCGAAATGCCGGAATAGGCCCAGGCGGTCGTCGTCGGCTACCGCGGCGCGGGCGAGATGCTTGGCGAGACCTCGATGCTGAAGGAGGGCCTCGCCACGGCCTCGGTAGCTGCTGACCAGATTACCACGGTCGTGGAGATGAAGGTGAGCGCGTTGGATGCGCTCTTCAAGGAGCATCCCCGGCTGCCCGCTCGTTTCTTCTGCTTCCTGGCCACATATCAGGGCGAGCGGCTGTACAAGTTGACGCAGGCATTCGCCGATTCGCAGACGCCTCAGGTGACGATTGCAGCCTCGCTCGCCATCCCAATCGAGGAGGTGGTCCACATCCCGGCCTTCTGCGGCAAGCTGCGCACCTACTTACTCAAGGCTGAGGAGACCGCTAGCACCAAGGTGAGGGGTCTTGACCGCCAGGCCGCACGCCGGCCGAGCTTGCTAAGCAGCCGCCCACCGCCGCAGGACGAACAAGCTCGCGCCCTCGGGCTGCTCACGCTCTTCGAGTTTTACGTCGACGTGCAGGACGAGTACGCTGAGCTGCCTGACAAGGCGGCGCTCACCGAGGAGGCGCCGAATTTGCAGGCAAAGTACCTCGTTGAGGGCCCCAAAACGTCGCTGGTCATCCCGGGCGCCGAGTTCATCTGCAAGGAGACTTGCGCCGAGGTGGACAGCGCGATCAGCTCGCTCAAGAGCGGCGGCCTTTCCACACGCAAGGCCCGCCAAATCTTCGCCGGGGCGCAAACAGAGGCGCTCGCTGCGCTAAACGCGGGCTGCTACGACGCCTTCATGGGATCAAAGCACTATCGGTACATCCTCGAGCTCAAAGCGAAGGAGAAGATCGTGCCCGCGCTCGAGGACTTCAAGGTTGTGCGCGTGCTCGGCGAGGGTGGCTTCGGGCAGGTAATTGAAGTGATCAAGCGCGACTGCGGTGTGCACTACGCGCTCAAGGTGATGCGGAAGGAGATGCTGAAGGAGTGCCTCGGCTCCTCGTGGCGCAAGAAGATCGCGCTCGAGCAGTCCATCCTCGCGACGCTGCAGCACCCGTTCCTGGTCAACCTCAAGTACGCGTTCCAGAACCCGGAGTTCCTGCTCCTCGTGATGGACCTCGTGCCGCAGGGCGACCTCTCCGAGTTTGTGCTCACCAAGCGCCGGCTGACACCGCCGCAGGTCAAGTGGGCCATAATGGAGACGGTCGAGGTGATGGGCTACATCCACGGTCAGTCCATTCTCTACCGCGACCTCAAGCCCGAGAATCTGCTGGTGGACGAGCAGGCGAGACTCTCCCAGATCCCCCTTGCCAGACACACCTGCGAACACCTCCACCTCCCACGGACAGGGCCACGTGCGGCTCATCGACATGGGCCTAGCCGCGAGAGTGACAGAGGCGGCGCCGAAGCGGCGCTCGCGTGTCGGCACCGACTGCTACATGGCGCCCGAGGTGCGCTGGGCGGCGCGGCGGAGGAAGCCGTATGGCAAGTCGGCCGACTGGTACACGATCGGCGTGCTGACGTACGAGTTCACGCAGGGGGATCTCCCCTTCTCGGCGCTCGACTCGCCCGCGCCTGTGTATCGTGGTGGCAAGTTTCCCTCGCCAGCGTGCAAGGACTTTTGCGAGGCTCTCCTCGTGCAGGACGAGGACAAGCGGCTGGGCTCAAGCGAGGACGGGCTCGCTGACGTCAAAGGGCATCCGTACTTTGAGGGCATCGACTGGGACATTGTCTCCGCGTGCAAGCTCCTCTCCCCCATGAAGGGCGTGAAGGGCGTCCCGAAGCGCAAGAAGGACAAGGAGCTTGCAGCGCAGCGCACCGCGCAGGACATCAAGGCGGTCGACGACCAGCCAGAGCTCGACCCCGACACGGGATCGCTGCGCGTCATCGACACGTGGGATTTCGTCGCGCCGACGGCGGTCACCGAGGAGCACATGGACTCCGTTTACCACGCTGTCTCTGTCATCTGAGAGCGCCTCTCCCGCTGGAGAGCTGGCACAATAGAGCCTGCACGTTCGCGGTACTCGAACGCGGCGCAGGCAATGTAGGTCGCCCTGTCTCCCTCCTTGCCACCCACTGCTTGTAGAAAGCCGGGTTGACCTGAGTCGCCTCTGACGCGGCGTGGGAGCTGGGAGGGGTGAGAATGCGCGAGCGGGGCCAGGCGAGCGAGAGGGGAGAGGGAATGATTTGCAAAGCTACCTGTGTGAGCTTCTGTTCACCAGTCTAGCGGGGCCGGGGGAGCGGGGGATAATAGTAGAACAGTGCATCAGTACAGGGACGAGATGGAACGCGGCTTTTCAGTTTAGTGTCCGGCGGGGACGCACTCCATACATCCGACCATGTGGTCACATCAACACATGCATGTGCATGTCATGCGTGTACGTGTCCCCCCCGCCCGATCTTGCGGTGTGCGTGTGAGCGGGGGAGGCTTAAAACCCGTCGTCACTCGTCATCCAGCGGACCTCAAGCTCAACCCCCTCGTCACAACATTCGAAGAATGATTCATTGAATCATTCGCTCCGTGCACAATCCACAAAGCAGACAACCTCGGTTTCCCATCGGGTTTCTGCTGCGGTTTCCCATATCGTGGCGGTTTCCCGTAGCCGAAAACCCAGGGGTCGGTCGGTTTCTATTCCCATTATAAAACGCAATGCTGTTTCACTTCAGAGGTAGCTAACAACAACAAGACAGGGGTTGACGTACGAAACATCCCGCTCCGTCTGCTCTCTCAGACGGTCTCTACCACGCGCCACGACAGTCGGTTGCTCCTTGCGGCGCGTGAGCAGAGGGCGAGCCTGGTGGCTTTTCACGTGGAGGCGCTGCCGTCGCCGCTCGATCCAGCGGTACGGCGACGCGCTGCGGCGATCGCGCAACGAGGCTGCTGCGGCTCGACGGGGCTGGCCATGTCCGCCACAAAATCGGCCGAGACCTCCTTCTCCGAGCGGCCGTCCTTGGGCACGTACATGTAGATCTCGCCGCCACGGGTCCACCCCCTCGCCAGCGGATCCTGCCCCGGCGCCGACACCTGCAGGGCGCGGTGGGCAGATGGTCGGGCGGCCAGTGGCGGGACGCAGGGGGGGCTGCCCTTGCGGCCGCCTGCTTGAGCTTGAAATGCGACGAATAGAGGAGTCCCCGAAGGGCCACCTGCTGCTGCGTCGCGTCATCCTGCGCCACCCGCACGGGCACGCGCTGCCACAGCTCCTCCTCGCTCTCCGCCGAGGTGCCTCCCATCCCGGCGCCGCGAGGCCGGCTGCGCGGGTTCGGGTTGCGGCTCTCAGGCACGACGTACTTGGCCGCCGTGACGAGGCCCCGCGCCGCCGTCGCGTTGCCGCCCAGCACGTGCACCTCCTCCGGCGGCCCGTACACGGAGTGGAAGCGCTCCTATGCGGCACGTCGGTCGTGTCATCTTCGCCGCCCCTGCAGTGCGCGCCGCGCGGAGGCGCGCTCTGCGCCGCGAGCGCGTCGACGGCACGCTGCAGCCGCGCCGCCCACACCTTCGCGGCCGCCTATTTGGTGGGGGCAGGAGCTCAACCCTCGGGGGGCGCCTCTCCCCTCCCTCGCCGCCGCGCGCCTCCGCCGACAGGGAGGGCTGCGTGTGCGGCGGCAGCTCCGCGCACGCGCCGTGGAGCCTCTCCCAGGTTAGCACGTCGAGCGCGAAGCGGATGCGCGCCTGGTGGTGGGGTATCTTGTGCGAGTCCTTCGGCTTGACGCGCAGCCCCTCCTTGGTGACGCGCAGCCCGCCTACGCGACGCGTCGTGGAGCGTGTCGAGGACACGGCCCGGAGCGCCGCCCGCCCGTCCTCTTCCTCTGCGGCCCGCCGCAGTAGCCGTGCGGATCGTCGAGGCGGATCTTGGTGAACCAGACCCACGACTGCCAGATGGCAACCTCGACGAAGCGCCCCTTGCCCGACGGGTCGCGGAACAGCGTCGCCACCGCCGGAGCCGTCCCCAGGATGAGCACGAGCGCGCTGCGCAGCTGCCGGTTCTCGCAGGCGACGCCGAGCGCTGCGGCGAGCCCGTCGGGCACGGCGGACACCTTGGCGCGGGGGCAGACCTCGCGGAAGGCGAGCTTGAAGTCGAAGCCGCGGAAGCGCGGCGACATCGACGGCGTGTTCTTGACCACCGTGTAGTCGGAGCGGTCCTCTGTGGCCAGGTCGACGGTGCCCGGCACCGCAAAGACGAGCCGGCCGAGCCGCGAGCTGACGACGCCGCACGTCAGCAGGTAGTCTCGCACGCGCGCTGGCGCGCCCTCGGGGTCGAACTTGTCCTCACTCTCCAGCGCCGGGTTCTGCCACAGCCTTGCCGTCGGCACAGGCGGCAGCCGGCGCACCCGCCCCGGGCTGCAGCCGCCGACTGTCATGGCGCACAGCAGCAGCTTGGTGCGCGTGGCGCCAACGTCGATGGCGAGCACGAGCTCCTCCGACTTGGGTGCGTCCTCCTCCTCCTCTGCAGCGCGGCCCAGCGTGCGCTGCAGCGAGTCGTCCAGCCGCTCCGTGCCGAGCGTCGCGGCAGCCTCGCACGCCGCCTCGGGCAGCCGCAACGCGGCGAGAAGCAGGCGCGCGCCGAGCCAGCAGCGGCGAAGGAGGCTGCGAAGACGGCGAGCCTGCGAGCCGAGCGCGGCGAGGATGGTGAAGGCGTGGCTCAGAGCGGCTGGGTTCTGCTCCCTGCCCCTTTGGGGCGAGAATATGGGGGCGCACCTTCGGAAGGGGCCTCACAGACCGACTTCACAGCTCACAGCTCATCATGGGTGGACGCGGGACAGCTGGCGAGTACAGACCACGCCTGCTATTCACAGCACAAGCCCTCGCCAGGAGGCTTCGGGCATGCTAAGCGAATTTACGCACGCCCCCCCGGTGTGAAAAAGTCTTCCTTTGTTGGGAAGGCACGGGCCCTCAGCGGAGCTGGGAAGAGGACCGCCGCAAGCGGTGTGGCGTGGAGCGGTTGTGCATCCCTCCGGCCGGGGGCCCCTCTCTCTGCGCCGGGGAGGCGTTGTTGGGAGTGCGGGTGGGGAGGCCCTAAAACGGCGGGAGGGGTAGGGGTGCCGCTGTAGGGGTGTGGAGGGGTCGGGAGGGGGCGGGAGTGTGGACCGTGAGCTAAAGCCCTCCACCGATAGAGGTGTCAGGCGGCAGGGCCCAGGAGGGCACTCGGAGGGGTGGGGGGTTGGAGGGCTGGCCAAAAGCGAGGCGTAGGAGGGGTCCAGAGGGCTATAGAGAGGGCTGGAGGGGTCGGAGGGGGCTGGAGGGGCCGGAGGGGTTGTGCGGATGGAGGGGTCTGGAGGGCTCGGGGGGCTTGGAAAAAATTAGATATTCTTACCTTTCTTGCCCCCCTCCGAGACTAGGGACAGAACCACACCAGTATCAGACCGGAGGGACTGCGCCTCGCCCCCGCTAGCCCTGCCTGCGCAGGATAGCGTGCCCCGATGGCGGCGACACTTAGCGAGGGTCACTGCGCAAGGAGGGGGTGCGTCGACTTTTTTATTTTCTGCTTTATTTGTCCTCTCGGGGGAATGTTCTCTCGGCGCCCATGGCCTTCTGAGGTTTCGTACTAATGACGTCCTTCTTGGCACTTCGGGCGTGGTATGCTTTATGCTACATAGGTCGCCCGCCGGCACCTCCTCTCACTTGCAGCGATCTCTTGCTGGATCCCTTTCCGCAAGCGGAAGGTCGCCAGTTCGAAACCTGCTTTGACCCTTATATATCCAGCTCCGAATTCGAAATCGTGTCCTCACGCTTTAGCGTTTGGTGTGCGTTCGCTTTTCGTCACGGGCGACTCGGGGGGCTTGGAGGGCTCGGAGGGTGTTCCGGCAAGAGGGTCCCTAGCGCGAAGGGTGGGGCTCGGGAGGGGTGGAGAGCTCGGAACCCTCTCGTGGCGGGCACTCTCGGAAGCTCCGCGCCATTCTTTTTTGCGAACCCTCCCGGAGGCCCTTCCGACCCCTCTCGAGCCCTCCCGCCACGAAGATCCTCTCTTTGTCTGACCGTCCCTCCGAGCCCACCCGGCGTTAGGCTGAACAAGGTTTTCCTCTCGCACCCCGTCTCTTTTCCTTTCCTTTTTTCTCTGCAGCACCCTCTCTTTTCCTCTCTATTTTCCCGGGAAAACCATCAAATTTTCCGGGCTCTGAGCCGAGTCTGAGGCTGGTTTGGGCCCAAAAAGCAAAATCAGCCAAATCGGCAAAATACCGGGTATTTTGCGGGTATACCTGGAAAACCCCGGGTATACCTGGAAAATATCCTGCGACCGCCTGGGTATCGTGCCGATTTCCTCAATTTTGCGTCAGAATTTGCCCCAGACCAGCTCTCAGACTCAGGGAAACTCGCGAGTTTCCAGAATGGAGCACCAAACACCCTCTGTTTTCCCTGGAAATTTCCGGAAACGCAAAGTGCTGGGGACCCTCTGTTTTCCTTTTTGTTTGCCGGAAAAGCTTGTGCAGGCCAAACCCGGCGCCCGAGCCCTCTTGCCTACCACCCGAGCTCGGGGGGGCGGCGAGCCCTCCTGGACCCCACCACCCCTCCCGCCTCGCCCAGCCCTCCTGACCCCTCTCCCCGGTGGACCGCTCCACCCTCCCAGCGCGCTAGCCCTATGGGACCCTGTGGAGCCCTCCCGACGCCGATCCGACGGGGACCCCTCCAGCCCTGTGGGCTGGCGAGCCCTCCGGTCGGAGGGGTGGAAGTGGGAGGGCTCGAGGACGGACCCCTCTCGCTCCGGGAGGGTGGAGGGGTGGAGGGTGGAGGGGTGGAGGGGTGGTTGAGCCCTCTAGCTCTATCGATATAGCCCTACCCCTCCCGCCGTTTTAGGGCCTCCCCACCCGCTATGAGCCCTCCTGGACCCGGGCGCCGTCGCGACGCGCGCGCCCAACTCTGCTGGTACACGGCACGCGTCGTCACACAGCCGCGGAGAATAGGCGGTGCAGCGCGCGAAGCGCGCGCGATCTCGTACTTTAAGGCTGGATCCGGCCATTCCAAGGGTATACCTTTGAGAATCCCCAGCGTCCCACCCTCCTAGTCACACTCTCAATTTCTCGACTGGCCAACACGAAGTGCTGCGATTGGGGGTCGCCCATTTCTTTTTCCTTTCTTTTTTTGGGCCCTGTGGGCACCCTACCTCAGGGGCTAGCCGCCAGCAGCTAGCCCTATCTCGCACTCACTGGCGGTGACATTCTATGGGTGAGCGTATGCAAGTAGAGGCGCGTGAGCCGATTCTTGATCGCATGCCATTGGCATATAACTGGGCTTGGCGTGCGACCTCAGCTTAACAAGGCTAGCTAAAAAAGAAAAAAGCGAAGGCTCTTTGAGCGCCATGAGTACTGGGGTCCTCGCCCCCGAGGCTGTCCTCAACCCGCTCGCGACCGAGAACATCTCATTTTCGATCGGCGCCAATGCCGACACCCCAAAGCAGCGGCGGCGAGCCAGACGCAGCCCCTCCAAGCCGGCGGCGGCATCGTCGCCTGATGAGGCGCGGTTGTGGGAGACGCTGAACCCGGAGCAGCGCGCGATGTATGCCAAGATTCGGGGGGCACCCGGCGCTCCGACGTCCTTCGCGGCGGGTGCGGCCGCGGCCGCGGCCGCAGGTGCGTCCGCGGCCTCCACGCCGCCTCCACCGTCCCGCCACCTGCCCATGTCGGTCGCGCCACCGCCGCCGCCCGTGCCGCCCACTCCTGCGTGGGGCACACCGGCGCCAGGCGGAGGCGCAGCAGGTCGCGGCGCGCGCGAGGAGGGGAGTGGCGGCGGCAGCATGACGCCCACCTCGGAAGGCGAGGCTGTTCCCATGTCTGTGGGGGGGCCTCCGCCAGCGGTGGAGTTGCAGACGCCGCAGCTGTCGACTCCCGTGCCCTCTCCTCCGACCCCCTCGTCGCACGGCACGGCGCGGGTCTCAGTCACGCCCTCGCCCTTCTCGTCCGAGGCCTTCGCGACCCCCTCCGAAGGGTCCGCCAGCGCCGGGTCGGCAGACAATATGCTCTTCACGTTGGGAGCGGAGGGGCCGGCCCCTGGCTCCGGCTCGTCAGGCCGCCGCGCGCAACGCCACCGCTCACGCGTGCTTCGCGGAGCTCCCACCACACCATCCTCGTCCTCCGCCGCCGCCGCGCCGGGGTTCATGTCCGGCCCGGCAGCCGCCCCACCGGGGCCGGGGCCGGGGCCGGCGCAGCCATTCGGTGGCTCAGACCCGGCGGCGAGCGGGGCGGGTGCGCACGAGGGGGGTGCGGCGGCACCACAGGTCCGCCATGCCGGAGCGGCGGGCGGCGAGTGGCGGCCTCCGCACGACGAGCCTTCGCAGCCCCACACGCCGCAGGGTGGCGGCGGCTGCTCGGGCGGCTTCACTATCGGCTCTGCGGGTGCGGCGGAGGCGTCGCCCGCGGGCCGCAAGGCGGGCAGCGCCAAGAGCCGCGCCTCCTCCAAGCTGCGCCAGCAGGGCGGCGCCGCGCAGAGGGGCCACCCGGAGGCTTTTGCTGCCGGCGCCGGCGCCAACCTCGCAAAGGGCTTGGGCGGGCTGAGCCTCGACGGCCGCCGCGCGCCTCCGTACCAGCGCGCCGCGCCCCCGCGCCCCACTGCGAGCATGCGCGAGATTGCGCTCGAATTCGACTCTGTCGAGGACCCGCACCCTAGATGCTGGACCACATCTGACAATTCCACGTACACCCCACTCGCACGCCATAATTCACCTCTTCCCCTTTCTCCCCCAGCCTGTCGGCATTCGCTAGAGTGCCTTGCGCACGACGCTTGAATGGCACGTACATGCATGCGCACGTCGAGGTCGCAGGCAGTAGCACAAAGTCTTCACGGTCCCGTCCCTCTTGTCGCCTTGACGCAGGATCCGCACCTCGTGGAGCGGCTGCACAAGGTGTGCAACGGCGCGCGCCTCTCGGCCGCCGAGTTTGCCAAGCGCTGGCGGAACTGGTCCGCTTCCGCGGGCCTGCGGGCGGTCACGTCGGCCACAATCGCGGAGTTCGAGTCGCTCCTCATCGGCGTGCCGCCCATGCCAGAGCCCTCGCAGCCTCACCCGCCTGCCTTTGGCGCGGCTGAAGGCGCCGGGGTTGGGCTGCCGCCGCAGCCGCAGCCAGAGCAGGTGCACCGGCGGCAGCAGCCGGAGCAGGTGAGACAGCAGCCAGAGCGCATGCCGCAGCGGTTCTTCGATCCGAAGCCGTTCGCACCCGCCCCCGGCCGACCAGACAACCCGTTTGCCGATTTCGTTGCCGCGGGGACAGCCCCGCCCCTCTTCAAAGCTCCGCCACCGGCCGTGCCGGCCGAACCACCTGCCGTGCCACCGGCTATGCCCGCCGCGTCAGCGCCCGCTGGCGGCGGCAGCGGGGACGGAGGCGACGCCGGCTTCGCGATGGGCGCGGCGCCCGCGGAGAGCGGCCCATCCCCGCCCCGCCGGCAGCGGCACGCTCGCCGGCGCTCGTCCTTCTCGCCGCACAAGGCCACCGTGCCGCCCGTGCCGCCGGTGCCGGTGCCGCCCGCTGCCGCGCCGCCCACATCCACGGCCGCGCCGCCGAGCTTGGAGCGCTCCAGCTCGCTCGGCGCAGCCGACCGGGAGGGGGCGCCGCAGGTGGCTTCCGAGCGGAGCGGCGAGCAGGAGGCTGCGAGGTCGCCCGCCTGGTCAGCAGCGGAGGAGCTCAAGGGACGCGGCAATGGAAAGTACGAGGCCAAGGACTATGCCGCCGCCCTCCAGTACTACCAGCGCGCCCTCGGTGCCCTCGGCGCACACCCGCTCTGCGAGGCCGCCACGGGCGGAGGCCGCGACCTAGTCGCCCCGGCGGCCACGGCGGCCGGCGCTGCTGCGGTGCGCTCCCGCGCCTCTAGCTACCACGCAAACTGCGCAGCTGCGCTCACGCAGCTTGGCAGGCTCTCCGAGGCGCTGCGCGAGTGCGACGCCGCGCTGCGCCTCGACGCCGCGCTGCCCAAGTCGCTGCTCCGTGCGGCGCATGTGTTCATGTCCCTCGGCGAGTATGTGCGCGCACGGGAGCTCTACGAGCGAGCGTCGCGCGCGGGCGCGACGGCGGATGGCGCCAACGGGCTGCGTATGTGCGGCGAGGCGGAGCAGGAGATGGGACGGGTGGGCTCCGAGCTCGCGGCCTTGCGGCGCGCCGGCGCGCAGTGCAAGTCGCGGCAGGCGTTCCGCGACCTCTCCTCGCGCCTCGAGGCGTCGTGCCTCCGCTGCGCGCACAATGAGGCGCTCAAGGCGCTCCGGGCCGAGCTCCTCGCGGCGGGAGGCGACTTTGGCGAGGCGCGCTCCATCTGCCTCGCCGCCATCGGCAAGCCCGACGCGTCGGGGCCGTCGCACGGTGAGGGCCTCCCGGGGCATGTCGCATGCGCGAGCGCGTCTCGCTCTGACGTGCATTGCCGCGGAACTAGGCGCGCTGTGGAGCTACACGTTCGGGAGGGTGCTGTACGATGCGGGCGACCTCGTTGGGGCGGAGGAGCGACTGAGCGAGGCGATGGCGCGGCCGGGCACGCCGGCGGCGGCCAAGCAGCTCCTCCGGCTCGCGCAGCGGCTGGAGGTGGAGCGGCAGGCGGGCAACGCCGCCTTCAAGCGGGGCGAGTGGGCGGCGGCGGCGGCGGGCTACACGCGGGGTCTGCAGCTCGACCCGAACAACGGACGCTTCAACGCGCTCCTCTATTGTAACCGCGCCGCCGCAAACGCGCGGCGCGATTCGCTGCTCGAGCAGGCGCCGCCGCCGCGAGGCGCGCACCGCATCTCGGGTGCTTCTCAGAGTCGTGCCGGGCTCTTCCCTAGGCGCTCTCCGACTGCAACATGGCGATCGTCCTCGACACGACGTACGCCAAGGCCTACCTCCGCCGCGCTGAGCTGCGGCTGCGCGTGGGCAAGAGGTGCGCTGTTCTCACACGGAGAGGTGGGTGCTTTGCTTGCCGCCACTTGCCACAGGCGGAGGGTCCGTCGCTGTAGGCAATTGGCGCTCGACGATTTTGGTCTTGCGCGGCGGCACGATCCGCGGGGCACGGTCGGCGCCGAGGCAGCGAAGCGCAGCGCGGAGGTTCGCGCCGCCGCTGCCGGCAGCTCGCATTCGCACGGCTACAGCGGCGGGTCGCGTTCGCAGCACGGCGGCTTCGCGGGCGGCGCCGGCCGCCCGGGCCACGGCGGCTATGGGTACGCGGGAAGCCGCGCGCCGCCGCCGGTGGAGAAGGAGCGCGAGCGGTGCCACTATGAGGTCCTCGAGATGAAGCCCGGCGCCAGCGCCGCCGAGCTCAAGCGGGCGTACCGCAAGTTGGCGCTCCAGCACCACCCAGACAAGAACAACGGCTCAGACACGGAGCGCGCCGCGGCGCAGAAGCGGTTCGTTGAGGTGCAGCGTTCGTACGACGTCCTCTCGGACGCGTCGGCGCGCGCGCGCTACGACGCCGAGCGATTGCGGCGCGGCCGCCGGCCTGGCGGCTTTGGAGGCGGCTTTGGGGGCGGCTTTGCTGCGGAGGAGGAGCTCTTTGCCGGCTTCTACAGCCGGCGCTATCGGTGAAAGGGGGGAGGGGGCGGGGCGCACACGCGGCCCATGGCGAATTGGTGGCCATGTGCCCCAGCTTTTCAGCTTCGGGGTCCTGCTCCTGGTCTCGCGACTCATCGAGTCAGGGCAGTCTTCTCTCGCGGTAGTGTTAACACAGCGAAGAGGCTTTTTGCTGCTCGTGAACACACTTTGATGCTCCATGCTCGAGCCCATGCAAGGTACTCGATCGGCCCCATACGTGGCTGGGACCTGGGTTCACAGCGATTGTAGGAAAATGAGGGGACCAAATCACGGTCGCGGCCTTCCGACTCGCGCGTCCGCCTCACTGGCACTATTGTAGCCCTGGCCGGTGCGCATGTGAAGTTGAAATTCCCGAGTAAAAATTCGAACGCGTTCTCTCACGGTGGGGTTGTTGCACGAGTATATGGGCCAAAAGCGTCGAAAATGTCCCAAAAAAGCGTCTCGAGTTTGTTGCAGCCCCACAGCCAGCGCGCGCTGCCAGGAGGCACCGCTCGCGTGTCGGCGGCACTCCCTGGCACCCAGTGAGTGCCGCGAACCGACCAGACCGAACAGGCTCGACGCCGCGCTTGCTGTGGGGCTGCAACAAACTCGCCGCCGAGCGTGCCATCGAAGGCGTCCCGGCGGCGGTGATGGAGTGTGAGACCTGAGGCTGCGGAGGTGACGCCTGAGGTATCGGCCCGTGCACAGCGACTCAGCCGGCGACCGCCACGGGCTCAGACGAGACTTGTCGACGCGTTCCGGCTCAGCTTCACCGTGGTCAGCGGGCGTCTGTCGACGTCAGGACCACCCATACAGCTCGCGGGTTTGAGGTCGCAAGAGCCAAGTTGGTGGCGTTTGGACATCCCAGCCATCACACAAGACAGCCTGTAGGTGATGGCGGGACGGCGCAGTGTTTGTGGCACTCGGCAGTAGGCACCCGCGGCACGGCCCCGCTGTCGGCTCTCGCGGGCTGCGGAACCGGCCCCAGAAGGGGACGGTCCGGGCGAGTGTGGCAGCTCTTGCGCTAGTATGAGCACCCTCTACCACAGCACTACCGACCCTGGTCATTAGAGCTGCCAGGGATAGCGTCAGGAGCCGGTAGGAGTCAAAACCCCTCATATTTGAGACATCGTGGCCCATATACTCGTGCAACAACCCGGTGACCAAAAAATGTCCACCTCAGAGGCACCTCCGGAGGCAGGCCGCCGCACGCCGGCGACACAGCTCCAGCTGTCGAACTGACCCGCAGCTCCTCTCAGAGCGAGAACTGTGACGAAAGTCGACTGAGGCGGTTGTCAGGAATCACCAACACCATCATACGGATCACATGGTGGCTCTCTCATGACGGGAGACCGCCCGACCACTCCTGGGTGGCACTTCCACCGGTGTCGCTCGACGTCCCCTGTCGACAGCGTGCCGACAGCGACACAGATCATGTGGTACGCGTCGATTATCGACCTCTACTGCTTACCCAGCCTTCGAGTGTATCCTGGCTGTGGTCCCACACCCACTGGTGTCCATCTCAGAGACCGCAGGAGGTCATGAGGGTCGATGGGAGTGCAAACCCCACAATGCCTAAAAACCCAGCCCAGTATCTCCACCCGTGATCCAGACCCATTTGCATTCTCGATACTCGAAAAAACCCAGCCCGATCGCTGGTGAGCGCCAGCGCGTCCCAAGAACGGTGTGACACCCTCGCCTGCCATGCCGAATCTCGACGCGCGTCCCAAAAGTCGCCAAAAGTCGCCAAAAGTGGCGGCGCGTCGCAATCACCCGCCCGCCGTCCCGGCGGTCCCGCAGCTCGCGCACATCTCCCTCTTAACCCACCTGTAACATCACATAAAGGTATTGCTAAAAATCTCTCTGCGACAGGCGCGCCTCGCAGAGCTGGTCGTCGCCCCGCGGCATGCTGGCGCGTCGCGGCGTCGGTACCTACTCGCTAGGATGACCAAGTTTCAGATTTTACGGAGCACCGAGAGGCGAGCGCGGAGGGCCAGACTAGTCAAACAGAGGGCTCGAACCGAGTCGCCCTGCGATTTTGTGTGTTCCGCCGTGGGCTCTCCCCGCCGGGAGGGAGCCCATCGCACCACCAGGCGGAAGAGAAGAATTTAAACAAAAGCACACAGCAGACAGGCTCGACACAGGTGCGAACTGGCGCGTGCTAGTACTATCACAGGCACACGAAGAGAAGATAGATTCGCACGCACATGAGTCAGTGCCATGGACCCTCACGAGGCGCGCATCGACAGGGAGTGGCTGGCCGCAGAGCGGGCCCTCCACGGCCACCAATTTCAGCCGCGTCCGGCCTCTGCGCCCCGTCGCCGTCCGGCAAGAGTGCCGCGCAGGCATGCTGCTGCCGCCCAGCGAGAACCAGCCCGTTGGAGCGGCGGCGGACCCGGCGATGACCGCACGTCGCAGAGCCGCGCCTGCGATATCTTGCAGCAGCGGATCGAGGCGCTTGAGCGAAGGATAGCAGATTCGGAGAAGGCTGTCGCACTCAACGCCGACCAGCGGCGACTGCAGCAGCGCCACTTAGCGAGGATCCGCCGCCAGGACAGGGCGCGAGCGAGGGAGAGGCTCTCTGCGGATCAGCCGACACCGGGACCCGCACCAGAAGCGTCGGTGGCGGAGGCAGAAGCAGGGACAGCGGAGCCGCCGCCATCCTCCGCCGCCTCTTCCTCGCCGCCTCCGCTCTCCCCGCCGCCGTCTGTCGCCGCGCTGGGCGTCCTGGTCGCCCGTATGGCGATTTTGGCCTCCACGGCTTGTGGCCCGGCCACTTCCGGGTGGGAACACGGCCCCGCCCTGTCACAGGCGGCGCGGGTCGCAGGCGTCACCTCGTCGACGTGGGACGAGCTCTGCGGGTCAGCGGCAAAGCAGCGGGTCGATTCGGCTGTGTGCCTGCAGCGCGCAGAGCGGGGACGGGTGGCGCGCCGCTTGGCACGTGCGCTGGCTCGGGACCGCGCACGCCTGATCGCCGCATTTCTCGAGGTCAATCCCGAGTGGAGGCGCGTGCCCAGCGCCGACGACCCCGCGGCGAGTGTGCTGCCGCGGCTCGCCTCGGGGACGCGGCTCGGCCGAGGCGCATTTGGCTGCGTCTACCAGCCGCGGCCGGTGTGGCACTTCCCGCACTGCGGCGTCGCCGTCAAGGCCGTCTCGCTCCGCCGCCGCTCCGCCGCACGCGGCCTTGCCCACGAGGCGACGCTCTTGCGGCGCGCGCACGAGGCGGGCCCTCATCCGCATGTCGTCGGATTGCACGGCGCCTTCCTCGAAGGCGAGCACGTGCGGCTCGCGCTCGACCTTGCGGCGGGCGATCTGCAACATCAGCTCTGGCAGAGGCGCGGCGTATTGGGAAGGCGGGAGGCGCTAGATCTTGCCCGACAGACCGCATCGGGGCTGCGGCACCTCCACGCGGCGGCGGGCGTGGCGCACCGCGACCTCAAGCTCGAGAATCTCCTCCTCTTTGGCCGCGGCGGCGGCGGCAGTGGAGGAGTCGTCGGCAGGCCACTTCTCAAGCTCGCCGACCTCGGACTTGGTATCCACATCTCGCAGCTCACGGCGGTGCAGGATCTTACCGCCACAGAGCGCGAGCGGTTGCCAGCCGACGCAGACGGCGCGTGCAGAGAGCAGGTGGGTTCCCCTGCTACGATGGCACCGGAGGTGCGCGGTGACGAGCTTTGCTGGTATTGCCCGTTTGCGGCCGACGCTTGGTCTCTCGGCGCTTGTCTATTAGCGCTCCTTGCGCCGCGCGACCCCGACGAGTTTGAGGCGCGAGCGCCGTTCTACCCGTTTCGGTTCGCCGATGCCGCCGACGACGAGTTTGTCGCGTACAGCATCGACTGCGAGAGCGCTCGGCTGTCGCGTTCGCCACCGCGCCATTCGCCGCCCGGGCTGGGCTTGCCGCCCGGATTGCGTGCATTGCCGCCGTTGGGATCGGCCTCACAGTTGGATGCCGTGGGTGCAAGAATCCTTGCCGCGCCGGGTCCAATCTCGAGGCTGCTCGACCGCAGAGCGCGCTTGCACGGCTTGTCTGTGCCAGACCCGCCGCTGCCGAAGAAGCTCCTCGCCCTCTTTGACGGCCTTCTCCGCCCGGACCCGAGGCTGCGCTCGCGGGTGAGCGATGCGGCGGTCTCTTTGATGCAGCTCGAGGCGGAGGCGGCGACTGAGCACGAGTCGTCGGAGGCAGTTAAACAGGCCCGGTGCACATGAGTGACAGAAAGCACCGCAGCAACTGAGTATTGTACATGTACACGACCTGGCGAGTAGAGGCCCCGCCCAACGCCCACCTTGCTACGTAGACGCCCATCCAGAGCGAGAGGCGCCAGCGCGCAGCGGGCAGCGCCAGCAGCCAGGCTTACCGTACCTCTCGCGACGGACCCATCGGGGGAAGATGTTTCCTAGAGGCGCTAGAAGAGGTTACCCACACTAAAATATTAAAAGCCCAGACACTGAATACCCACGGTGCGTGCCCGCGGCCCGTCCAGGTCGACAAGCATCACGGACTGCCACTGGCCGAGCACAAGTTCGCCGCCGACGCATGGGACGCACTCGCTCGATCCGAGCAGCATGCACGCGAGGTGTGAGTGCGCGTTGATCGGCTCCTGCGCGCGCCACGCCTCCAGCGCCTTCGGATCGTCGACATCCCACCCATTCTCGAGGCAGCGCTGCCGCTCATCCTCCGAGTCGGGCCGCTCGTCGATGTCGTTATGCATATAGTGCACCCCCCGCCCCGCGACACCCACAACCGACCGGTCATCGGGCGGCGCGAGCTGCAGCAGCCACGACTTGAGGTCGCGCGCGAGCCGGCTCTCCCACTCATTAATCGTGATGGCGGTGGTCGTGTGCCGCGAGATGATATTAACCGAACCATCACGCAATCCCGATGCAGCGAGCACCCTCCGGATATGCGGCATCAGGTCCACTAAGGTGATCTCCTGCGCTGGCGCGTACTCTGCCGGCGACGGGATATCCACCTGCTCGTAGTGCGCGATGTATCCCGTGGCGGCCGAACAGCAGAGGTGAGCCCCGCAGAACCCCACCCTTCCTTCTCCGCCCGCCTCACGCGCCCGCCGCGCCTCCAAATCGTTGATGCTGACGCCGGTAACGCGACGCAGAAGCGCCGCTGCTGACGGCTCGAGGAGGAGCAGGAAGCAGAGCGTCATGCGTTTGCACATATACACTGGGTTCCAACTTTTTCCGGGGTATGGTATGGTAGTCTCGGCCAACCCACCTCGAGACCATACCCCCCGCCTCTTGGAAGACCTGCTTGGGGTATGGTAGGGCTAGCCTTGGGCGGTCAGGACCATACCCCCCCCCCCCCCTTTGGGCCGCCGACCGAGGGTACCACACCATACCCCGGAAAAAGTTGGAACCCGGAAGAGGCTCCGACCCGGAAGACGCCGGAGCCCGGGAAGCTGGCTACAGTCAGCTAGCACGCGTCCCCTATGTGAGTCTCTATGGGCTCCTGCCAGTGCACCAGACTTACAGATGTGTCTTCAGAGGCGGGTTTGTGCCACCTAATAACGGCAGTATTGGAGAAAACGCTAAACGGCGCGGAACCCAGCGACGCGTGCTGGTGAGGCCGATTTTCTTGAACGGTCTTAAAAGAGGGAACCCCCGTGCCTGCAATCTCTTAAATGGTAATTGAAGCCCCCAAACCTCCTCATTTCTTAAAAGCTCTTTAAAAAATCCGGCCCTCAGAACCCTAGGGGTCCCCTAAGACAAGGATTGGCTCGTATGCATTCGATGCATTTTGCGCGTGATTGCATTTCTGCATTCGATGCATTTTGTGCGTGATTGCATTTCGTTGCATTCTGCATTGTAATGCATAGTAATTTCATTTTAAGTGCATAGTGATGCATGTTGCTGAGTAGGCAAGGCCAAGGACAATGGGAGGTCCTTGAGCAGTTCACCCCTTCGGCCATCTGGCTCCGGTTCCTGCCTCCTCTAATGTAGAATTTTGCATGCATCAAGATGATACACCATTTTGTTGGCTAGGCGGGCGCAAGAGGTCTGTTAGCGCCCCCCCCCCCGGCGCCCCCCGCAACCGGCACCCACCGCGAGCAGCACTTCGTCCGGTCCCTCCACCTCATCTGCTGCTGCCTCATCTGCTGCTGACTCTGACCTCGCCGCCGTCGTTGCTCTTGTCCGCGCGGCCGGTCGGGGAGGGGGCTGGAGAGATGGGGAAGAGGGGGAGCTCAGGTGCACCTTTGACGACTTATTTTGCACTGTCAGCTCGGCGGACAAGCACTTGACCCGCACTGATGTTCGCGCTGCGGTTGCTTACTTGCGCACGGAGTTCGAGATTGTAGTCGACCGAGACAGCGAGCACCCTGGGAGGGACATCATTGTCTTTTTGGAGGATTAGGTGCACACGCAATGGAGGCCGTGTGTCAGTGAATCCATGCAACTAAATGCAGTTTCCCGCCGCATAAACCATATGCAGCTGAAATGCAGTTGCCCAAAGAATGCAGAAATGCAGCAGAAATGCAGTTGCCCACCGAATGCAGAAAATGCAGAATGCAGTCTTGAATGCACAATAATGCGTTCAAATGCCATGATATGTGTGATATGCAACATATGCAACAGCTTTTGCCCATGCAAAACGAAATGTGCATGGGCAAAAACCACACGCATTTTTGGGCAAGAACCCCAAGACACCCCAGCGTGCGCAGCAGCAGCGCCGACGGCGGCCCCTCGCCGCATCAGCGGCACTCTGAGTGAGTCAGGCTGCGCTGCACAGCCTGCCGAGCACGCTCCCGACGAGCGCCGCGCCACGCGGGCCCGCCGCAGGCGACGCGGGCGGCGAGCCGACGCGTGTGTCGTAGGCGTAGGCAGCGCCAGGGCAGCGCTGGCGAAGCGAGGCGGCCGGCGCCGGCCCCCGGAGGCGGTTGCAGCGAGAGAAGCGAGGTAGAAGACACTGTTGAAAGGGTGGGGAGCAGCCTGCCGTCGAGCGGCGCGCCGCGCAAGCCCGCTGCCGGCGACCCGATCGGAGAGCTCATAGTCATGGTACAACTCAGCGCGCCATCGCGCCCGAGACGGCCCGCCCTGGCCCTGCGGACCTTACCAGAGAGCTTGGCGAGGCTGTACAGAATGCCGAGAGCATACTGAGCAGGCTGCCGTCGAGCGACGAGCCATGCTGGCTCGTCGCAGGCAGCGAGCTCGAAGACCCGCTCGGAGCTTCGCCGAGCCCGGCGGGCCCGCCCGCACGCCCCCGGCCGCGACATGGAAGACAAGCTTCCTGGCGTCTCTAGCCAGCGCTCACATGCCAAAAGGCACCTCGCAGCGCGCGAGACGTGACCGGAGCGGTTCCGCCTCGGCGCCGCGAGAGCAGCCGGTCGGCGTGGGCACCAAGCGCGCGGCCGCCGGGCGCCTTCGCACCGGCAGGGGCGCCGCGGCAGCAGAGATCCCTCCACCCACCATTAATTACCGTTTTTTGGCGGTTACAGCTCGGACTTTCTCTCACGAGAAGAAGACTCGCACGACTCGCGCCTCGCTGTCAGCCTATGCTCACCTGACTGTGTGTCACAGGGATTTTGATAAGAGTTTAAGATAACACTGAATTAAGAGAAAAAGAAACTGGCGCAGTGCTGTCGGCCAAGTCGCGCGAAACAACAATGTGTGTATATGCTCACCGCCGCTCCGCTCGCAGCGCGCTCTGCCATCGCGCTGTGCTCTTTGGCTGCGGCCGGGCGTGGTCATTTGGGCGTGGTCATCCGGGCCGCAAACCTGACGGATCCTGGCGACTGCGAGGCGCTCTGCTGCGTGCGCAAGCCCGTCGAGTTTGTCGTCGAGCAGGGCTCAAAGGGCTTCCTGGGCCAGGTGGCGGTTCTCGAGCCAGAGGTGGCGCGGAGGCGGCGCGTGCAGGCGCGGCTCGGCTCGGCCATTCGAGACAAGGCGAGGGTGCTGATCGCAGCCGACGCCGGCGCCGCGGAGCTGGCCGTGATTGGGACGGTGGACTGCGTCGCGCTGCCCGCCGGCAAGGGCCGGCGCGCCATGGGGCCCGAGCTTCCGCAGCGGCTGCTCATCCGCAACCTCTGGGTCGCCGAAGCTTTCCGCCGGCAGGGCATCGGCCGGCGGCTGATGGACGCCGCCGAGGAGCTGGCAGCCGAGATGCACATCGAGTTTTTGAGCCTCGACGTGCTTGCGGACAACGAGCCGGCGCGGCGGCTGTACGAGAGCCTCGGCTTCACCGACCTGGAGCCGCCGCCGGTGCCCGTGCCCAACTGGCTGCGCGGCGCGCTGTCACTGGGCAAGGCGCTGGCGCCCCCGGGTGTCACGGCAGAGGGGTCCACTGAGATGCGCCCGATGTGAAAGAGGCGGTGCGCTAGTGCCGGCTGATATCCTCAACGTTGTTCAAGTGTCCACCATGCTGTGGCGTGCACGTGCGACGTGGCCCCGTGGCGGTGTGGCTGTGGGCGTCTCAATATCGATAAAATAAAGATAGCCACCGCCCCCCCCGCACAAAAATCAAAATCCAGTTACGTGGCTGGGTTCACAGCGATTGTAGGAAAACGAAGGGAACACTTGACGGTCGCGGCCTTCCGACTCGCGCCTCCGCCTCACTGGCACTATTGTAGCCCTGGCCGGTGCGCGTGTGAAGTTGAAGTTCCGGAGTGAAAATTCGAACGCGTTCTCTCACGGTGACAAAAAAATGTCCACCTCAGAGGCACCTCCGGAGGCAGGCCGCCGCACGCCGGCGACACAGCTCCAGCTGTCGAACTGACCCTCAGCTCCTCTCAGAGCGGGAACTGTGACGAAAGTTGACTGAGGCGATTGTCAGGAACCATCATACGGATCACATGGTGGCTCTCTCATGACGGGAGACCGCCCGACCACTCCTGGGTGGCACTGCCACCGGTGTCGCTCGACGTCCTGTCGACAGCGTGCCGACAGCGACACAGACCATGTGGGACGCGTCGAGTATCGACCTCTACTGCTTACCCAGCCTTTGAGTGTATCCTAGCTGTGGTCCCACACCCACTGGTGTCCATCTCAGAGACCGCAGGAGGTCGTGAGGGTCGATGGGAGTGCCAACCCCACAATGCCTAAAAACCCAGCCCAGTACCAGTATCCACACCAGGAGTCTCCAGGAGGGAGCAGGACGTCGCGGAGATCAGCAGGAGGATGTACGAACAGATGATAGAGTAGCAGGGACCCGAGGGACCATGTGGAAGACGGCTAGTGCTAGTCCCCCCCGTCGGGGACGACCCCGGCTAGTCGCCGGCCACACGCACACCCACAAAGAACCCTGCACAAAGATCGCACGGGCGGGCACCTGTGCCTTTTTACCCATCGCTGTGGTCGCCGCAGACTGGCTCCGACTTGACGGCAGCATGGAGACGTGATGCCTCCGTGCGCCCGTCGAGTCAAAATTGACATGCGAGGCGATCTTTGGCCCGCCAGAGGGATAGCGGGTAGGCGGCGTTTTGGGCGACAACAGCACCGCGAAGTGGCGGTGGACATGCTCCCATGTTGCCGACGCGGCGCCGGAGTGGCCGGCGCTGCTCGCCGCGACCACGACGGCTACTCCGATGCTCCGGGCCGACCCGTCCTAGCTCGATCGGTCACCGCCATCGCCGTCGACGTCTCCCAGTGAGATGATGGAGAGGGGGGACGACACCGCTCGATCTACCCTCAGGGGTCCCTCAGCGGCGTGCACCTCGATCCTGTACCGTGTTTGTTATGACCCCCCCCCCAATGAGCACACCAGCGAGGGAGGGCGAGACGATCGAGGGGTCCCGTACCATGCATCCATGCGGAATCGACCCTATCCAGTGCTCAAGTGCTCAACAAACTCTTCGTACATCATAAGCGTCGAACGATGCACGGTCGCTCTCCGACATGAGGCGCGTTGCACTTGCCAGTGCTGCCCTGGCCTTCTGTCTGCCCGCCCAATGGGTGGCAGGTGCCGCTGCTGCTGTGGCATGCCTCACGGCTGCGACTGGCCGGCGCCTCGGCGCGTCACTCAGCTCGGCTCGGCGTAGCGATCGTGGCCAGCGCAACTCGCCTGGACTCAACGCTCAGCCAGGAGCTCCCGCACGCGCTGGCGCGAGTCATGGCGCATGCAACGCGTCTGAATGCTCGCCTCGCCTCGCGCGAATGCGACCGTCCTCGCAGCCGACAGTCCACCGCCTGAAGCACAGCGACGAATGCGGCACCGGCGACGCATGGCAGGCTGGTCATGACGCAGTTATAGGGTGTTGTGTGCCGTCGGAGTGACTCTCTGTGTGTCAGGGATAGTCAGGGCTGTCCATCAGAGCTCCATCCAGTAAGCTCGGAGACACCCCATTAGCGCGGCTCGACCTCTTTGAGTCACTGCCTTCCCGGCGGTTTGGCTGTAGAGCCTCTACAACAAACTCTACAACAAAATCGCGCTCTACATCGCTCTACAACGCAGGCGCTTCGTCCCGCGGCGGATGTAGAGCTCTACAGCACTCCAGAGCGCTCTACAGATCTCTACAACTCTACAGCGCTCTACACTCTACATCCTCTACACCCTCCCTCAGAGTGACTCTCAAAGAGGTCGAGCCGCACCAATGCGCAATGGGGTGTCTCCGAGCTTACTGGAGCTCTGATGGACGGCCCTGACTATCCCTGACACACAGAGAGTCACTCTGACGGCACACACAACACCCTACAACTGCGTCATGACCAGCCTGCCGTGCGTTCGCCGCGCGGTGCCGCATTCGTCGCAGTGCTTCTTTAGCGCAGGCGGTGGACTGTCTGAGCCCTGGCGTCGAGGTGTCGAGGCCCGGTTTCGAGGGTGCCGAGCTGCTGTCGAGGGGTAGAGGTGTCGAGGCCTGTCGAGGGACGAGGCCTGTCGAGGCCTGTCGCGAGGCCTGTCGAGGCTGGCTGGGGGAGTCTGGGACCATGGGGAGGTTGACATGATCGTGATTTCCGCAGAAAATTTCTTCTCCTGCTGTGAAAATCCAGCTGAAGAGAGGGAAAACCCCGACGGGAGGGCCCAGACCAAACACAAATCTCTCTCTCTCTCACTCTCTCTCTCTCCCAGACCTATACCCTACATACCCCATCGATTCACCCCGTCATGAGTGTTGCCGGCCAAGCAAAAATAAATAAACGACACCTAGCATGATCAATTAGGATAATTCTTTTCGCACGTTCCCAGTCAAAGAAAGAAAGAAAACAGACATGCCAAACGAGGGATGGGAGGAGGACAAGGTCCCCACCTGCACGAGCAGGATTTTGGAAGGAAACTCTCTCTCTGGAAGGACGATCAGGGACACAGGGGAACGGGAGAGTGGGGAGCGCATCGCGACACGGCGAGGGGGGCTGGGCAGGGTTCACCCACACGACAGGGTCCCAGGGATTCCTCTCTCGTGTAGGACGGGTTGCACCCGGCGGCACGGGGGCAGGCGCGGGCATCCTACTGGTTGTGCTCTCCTAGTTCTCCTGCTCCTGACTGACAAAAGGCAAACTCTCTCTCTCAAAAGGCAGTGTCGTAGAGGGAAAAAAGAACGATGGGAGGGAAAGAAAAGAAAGAAATAAAACAGACAAGCCAAGGGAGGGATGGGGAAAATAAAGAAATCAAGCTGACAACGCAAGGGATGGATGGGAGGACGGCACGCCGCCACCACACAGGGATTTTAAGGTGCGGAGTGTGGTGCGCTAGCCGTCGCCCACCCTTGGGCGTCCGCCTCTTCCTATCTCTCACTCTCTTCGCAGTCTCTCGCCGATTCTCGCTGCAACCTTCATGCCACCTCGCGGTCGTCCCACTCTCGTCGTTCTCTCCCTTGTCGCTTCCTCCTCTGTCGCGTCGTTCTCTTCTGCCTCGTCCTGTGACGCCGCCGCCTGCCGGTCCCTTGTTCTCGCGGCTTCTTTCGCCTTTCGGCGCAACTCCGTCCTCCTCGCGGCGTATCCTGGCCCCTCGAGTCTATCGAGCTCCCCTCGCGCAAGGTCCAAGGACCACATTTCTGACTCCCACTCCGATCATTTGCCTACAGGTCATGTTGTTGCTCAGGTCCACTCTCTCTTCGAACACTCGTGCCTCTAAAAGAAAGAAAACAGACAACCCAAGGGAGGGATGGGAGGACGGCACGCCGCCACCACACAGGGATTTAAGGTGCGGAGTGTGGTGCTAAAAAAGAAAGAAAGAAAACGGACAACCCAAGGGATAAATAAATAAATGGAGCAGTCATCTCCCGTACAGATGGGCGACGCACAAACACAGAGGCACAGTGCGCACCCCGCCCCGCTCTCAGGGCGTGCAACCCAAGTAGGTAGGTAGGTAGAAAGGTGAAGAACAGCCAGGCTCGGACTGGACACCAACGCGGTATGGGTGGACGCTGGACAGATGATGACGACACGCACGAGCGACACACAGACACAAACAAGCTCACAAGACACACAGCCAGCTGGCTGCCACACACCCTGAGTAGGCGTACACATAACTCAAGGCCAACCCAAAAGGGCGAGGCTGCGCCCAACAGCTGTTCACACCTGGAAAACTCATCGGATTTGGGCCACTTGCCTGGGCGACCCCGGACCCTTGGCGGACGCGCATGACGTCGGGCGGGACCCCCCGTGCGGGGGCCTTCTCGCGGTCGTCCCACTCTCGTCGTTCTCTCCCTTATCGCTTCCTCCTCTGTCGCGTCGTTCTCTTCTGCCTCGTCCTGTGACGCCGCCGCCTGCCGGTCCCTTGTTCTCGCGGCTTCTTTCGCCTTTCGGCGCAACTCCGTCCTCCTCGCGGCGTATCCTGGCCCCTCGAGTCTATCGAGCTCCCCTCGCGCAAGGTCCAAGGACCACATTTCTGACTCCCACTCCGATCATTTGCCTACAGGTCATGTTGTTGCTCAGGTCCACTCTCTCTTCGAACACTCGTGCCTCTAAAAGAAAGAAAACAGACAACCCAAGGGAGGGATGGGAGGACGGCACGCCGCCACCACACAGGGATTTTAAGGTGCGGAGTGTGGTGCTAAAAAAGAAAGAAAGAAAACGGACAACCCAAGGGATAAATAAATAAATGGAGCAGTCATCTCCCGTAGAGATGGGCGACGCACAAACACAGAGGCACAGTGCGCACCCCGCCCCGCTCCGTGCCGTCGACCGAAAATTCTTTTCGCACCCCAAAGGGCATCGAGGCTGGACATGACTGGTGAGCCACGTAGCGCCGCGCCGGCGCCGCCCGTCGCGCCGCCATGGGCAGTGAGTCGAGACGTCGTTGGAGCGACGCGCCCCCGGCGTCAGCGCTCCGGGCTCCGCTGCATCGCTCCGCATGCGCGGCCGGCCTTGCGTGACCGCGCTCTCTCTGCGCAGCCTCTCTCTGTCTGAACCTCTGCCCCCGCCCCCCCCCGCGACGTACAGAGGAGACAAAGACCATTGTGACGGAAGACGGCACCGTCGAAACTAACTACGATGAGGGTGCGCATCCGCCCGCGGCGGTGGCCCTCCGGCACTCGGCCAGCCGCTGAGAGACGGCCGCACCCACCCTGCAGTCATCGAGAGCTTCGATGACATGGGCCTCAAGGAGGACCTCCTCCGCGGCATCTACGCCTACGGCTTTGAGAAGCCGTCGGCGATCCAGCAGCGCGCCATCAAGCCGCTCATCATGATGCGCGACACAATCGCGCAGGCGCAGTCGGGCACGGGCAAGACGGCCACCTTCACCATCGGCCTGCTCCAGAACATCGACATCGCCAACCGCGACTGCCAGGCGCTGATCCTCGCGCCGACGCGCGAGCTCGCCACTCAGATCGTCAAGGTCGTTATGGCCATCGGCGATTACCTCGGCATCACCACCATGGTGCGCCCTGTGCGAGAAGCCGCCCGGTGCAGGCGCCGGCTCGCCTCCAGGGCCTCCGTTCGCGCCCCGCTAGGCGTGCATCGGCGGCACCAACGTGCGCGAGGACATGAGCAAGCTGCAGAACGGCGTGCAGCTGGTGGTCGGTGCGCCCGCGGTTGGGTGGGGAGAGGGCGGCGACGCTTGGGCTGTCCCCAGCGGAGCGCTCCGCTGGGAAGGGAGGGGGGGGGGAGCGATCGGAGGGGAGGTGCGATCGAGCCCACCCGCCCTCCGCTCCAGGCACGCCGGGCCGTGTGTTCGACATGATCAACCGGCGCGCGCTCCGCGTCGACTACATCCAGTACTTCGTCCTCGACGAGGCGGACGAGATGCTCTCGCGCGGCTTCAAGGATCAGATCTACGACGTCTTCCAGAAGCTGCCGCCGACGGTGCACGTCGGCCTCTTCTCGGCCACCATGCCGACGGACGTGCTCGAGCTGACCACCAAGTTCATGCGCGACCCGATCCGCATTCTGGTGAAGCGCGACGAGCTGACGCTCGACGGCATCAAGCAGTTCTACGTCATGGTCGAGCGGGAGGAGTGGAAGCTCGACACGCTCTGCGACCTTTACGAGACGCTGACCATCACGCAGGCGATGATCTTTGTCAACACGCGCCGCAAGGTCGAGTGGCTGACGGAGAAGATGCACGCGCGCGACTTCACGTGCTCGGCGCGTCTGCCCGATGCCACGCTTACCGCCCTCTCCTTCGCCTCACTCCTCGCCTCCCCTCCCCCCTCCCCCCCCCCCGCGCGCGCGCGCGCCTCGACCCCCCCACCCCCCCCACCCCCCGTCCTCACTAATTGCCGCAGGCCATCCACGCCGACTTGGACCAGAAGGAGCGCGAGGTCATCATGCGGGAGTTCCGCTCGGGCAGCAGCCGCGTGCTCATCACCACCGATGTGCTCGCACGAGGCATCGATGTGCAGCAGGCGCAGCTGCGCGCCAGCGCTCCCCCCACTCCACTTTTCCGGGCGCCTTGAAGACCACTGCTGAGAACGTAGGTCTCGCTCGTCATCAACTACGATTTGCCGACGAACCGCGAGAACTACATCCACCGCATCGGTAGGGGCGGCCGGTTTGGTCGCAAGGGTGTCGCCATCAACTTCCTCACAAACGACGACGTGCGCACGCTGAGGGAGATCGAGCAGTTTTACAACACGCAGATTGACGAGATGCCAATGAACGTGGCCGACCTTATCTAATGTGGGGGCCGGCGGCGGCCTAGGACCGCCCACCCCCAAGCACGCTGGCCGCTTCTCTCTCCGCGCATCGCAAGACCCAGTGTGGCCGTTTGCCGCGCGCAGAGCCGCTCCTGCGCGAAGCGCGGGTGGCTCGTACAGCAAACAGCGCACTTCTCGCGGTCGCTCCGCGCACACCTACAGCCGCGCTATGTGCATGCCACCCGCCCCCCCCTTGTGTCTGTTTTGTCCTGTGACGCTGCGGTCGTGTAGCGGGGTCTTCGAAGGAGCTTTCCGCGAGATCACCATGCTCTAACCTCTCTATGCCGAGACGCGAGAGACTCGAGAGCGAACTCCTGCGGCAATACTCAAACGCTCGGCCCGGCGTCTCTCAGAGCGAACACGCGCTTGGGCGGTGCTTCCGATGTGCCCGAGCGTGTGGCCATCCGCACACCGCAGGACGGGCGTATGACTATGAGTGTGCGACGTATGTGGCGCAGAGAGATTTTTCATGGCGGATTGCGGGGAGAAGGAAGTGCTCGGAAGAGGTCATACACGGTACATTGATGCACATAGAGCTTAGAGGTCATCGAGCACCGCCTGTCTGTTGCTCTCGGTTCTCTCTCTCGCGCGCGCGCCCGCCCCGCACACACTGCATCGGCGCCGGGAAACGAACGCCGGCGCGTCGTTAAGGATCACCATGTCCCACCCCGCTGCCACACTGCAGCTCTCTCTCCGGCGCGCCCAGCCTGCACGCATGGCAATCGCAAACACCTTCTCCCAGCCCGCTGCTGCGCGTCGAGGGGGAAACCCTGCCGAACCCCGGAACCCCCCCCCCCCCCCCCCCGGAAACCTAGGGGGGGGCTTTATTTTGGGGCCCCTAAAAGACCCCCCCCCGGCCCCCCCCCCTTGGGGCCAAAGGAAAAGGAGGGCGAAGGGGACGGAGGAGGCGGGCTGGGAGGGAACAATGGGGGAACCACCCCTGAACCCCCCATCCCGTGGGCAGGAAACCGGGACCCCGCTCCCCCCGGGCCTCCCTTTCCTGTCCCTGAAAGGAGGGATCCCTCCCTCCCCCCGCTCCCGAAGGTGGGGCCGGCCTCCTCGGTCCCGGGGCCCGTAGGAGGTGGACTCCGGGGCCGAGCCGCCTTTGCAGCCTGCCCTACCAGCGACTCTGTACCCCTCCTCGGACCGTAAGCTGCCCCCCCCCCCCCCCCCCCCCTCACCCACGGACACCCCCACCCCTCACCCCCACCGCCGTCCTCCTCCCCACTCCGCCCCTCGACAGCGGTCGATACCGACAGTGGCGAGCGGCTCAGTGGAGGGGAACCCGAGGGGGGGAGAGGATGAGGTTCCTGTTGCAGCTGCCCCTGCGCCTCCGCGGCAGCTAGCCTACTCCACAGTCGTTACGATGAGCGGTGCCTTGCCCAACGAGCACCCACCGCATGAAGGAGCGAGCAGACCAGAGAGGCGTGCCGAGTCTCGAGGTCAGTCGGCGGCGGCGGCCACCGCGGGAGCAAGCGGCTCAGAGGTGGGCGGCTGCGGTGGCGAGGGCTCCGCGGTAGCGGCTGCGGCGGGAAGCGGCTGCGGAGGCGAGGGCACCGCGCCCGACGGCACCGTGCCGGGCGGCGGTGCTGCTGTGCCCGGCGGCACCATCATCGGGTCGCCAGGCTTGGTAATCGAATTGCGCGGGAAGCGAGGGTCGCCGGGGATAGGCTGGCCCTGCATGGCAACCGGAACCTCCTGCCGCTGGAGCACCTCCTCGATCTGGCGCCAGTCGATGGCGAGCACGCCGTCGGGCGCCGCGAGGCCGCCCGTGTCGGAGGCAGCAGGGCAAATCAGCCGCTGGACCGTCATCAGTCCGTTAGGCATCTGCGATACCCACTGCATGGACTGGTGCACGCGCAGCAGCCACGGCAGCGAGCTCGAGAGCTCCGCGATCGTACGGAAAGGCGAGGGGGCCATCAGGAAGCGCTCGGGCAGGAAGGGCATCAGCATCGTCTCGGGGATGCCGTTTGTGCCCGCGAAGCGACCGGTGAGGATCAGCATGCGCACGTGGTACTCGAGTTCGTCGAGCGAGAGGCCGCCGCCCGCGGCGAGCCTCGCCTTGAGCGCGTCGCGGTGCTGCCGCATCCGCTCGTCCCCCTGTGCGTTGGGGCCCGGTGGTTGGTGTACGGTGGGGGGAGAGGAACCGAGAGGCCGGGGAACCGGGGAGGGGGGGGGGGGGGGGCACCTGCAGCAGCTGAAGCTCGGTGGGGAACGTCTGCTTGCCCGCGTGCTGAATTGCGTTATGGGCGCCGTAACTCTGCTGCCGCATCCCCATCGGCGCCATGCTCGCCATGTTGGCCATGCCCGCGCCGCCCGCACCCGCCGGTCCGACTCCGCCCGGCACACCGCCGAGCGGTGCGCCGTCTGGGCCCACGCCGCGCTGCCGCTGCTGCTCCACCCGCGCCTGCTCCTGCCTGGCCGCCTTCCTCTCAGCCTTGGTCAGCTGGCGCTGCTCGCCGTCCCCCTCGCCCCCCCCCCTGCTCTCGCCCTCCCCCTTCCCTGAGCCGGCGTGGTCGCCATCGCCGTTGTTGCCGTCGCCCTTTTTGCTCTTCTTTTTCTTGCCCGCCGACGGCGCCGCCGGCGGCGTCTCGGCGGGCAGAGCAGAGGGTGGCGGTGGCAACGGCACGCCGATCGCAGCAGCCGTCGCACTCGGGTTGCCCCACGCCGGAGCCTTTGGCTTTGGCTCGGGCTTCGGCGGCGGCGGAGCCTCCGCGGGGGCGGCCGCAGATGCAGCCGGCGGCGCAGCGGGCGCGACCGCCGCGGCGGCAGGGGCAGCGGGCGCGACGGCGGGTGGCTCCGGCGCGGGGGGCGCTGGCTCCGGCACAAGCTCCGGCTCCGGCGCCGCCGCGGGCGCGGGCGCGGGCGCGGGCGCGGGCGCGGGCGCG